CCTTCCTTCCTTCCTTCCTTCCTTCCTTCCTTCCTTCCTTCCTTCCTTCCTTCCTTTTATCATTTACTTTTTCTATTATTGCATTACAAATTTGGAACTCTTTGTATTTGTATTAAAAAGATAAAGGAACAGGTGGTATTTTATGCCCTATATAATAGCTTGCCTGGAAATCTCATTCAGGATAAAACTTTAAGGCCTGAAGACAAGTATACAAGGCAATGCACTGAAAAGTCCATCATGTCTCTGGACTTGTTTTGAGCAGGAAAAATATTTATTTATTTATTTATTTGACTTTCATGCTACTCCAATTGCTACCTGATTCTGAGCAGTTCTAATCCTACCATGCATAAACAGGATTAAAGTAATTCAGACATAACCAAATAAATAAACTGCATTATATAGTAACATATTCCTGTGCTGAGGACCCCTAAGAACCCATATGCAAGAATATAGAGACGTTATTGTGTTCTGGAATAACAACTTTTCAGAAGAGTAGACATTTAATCAATTGTTATAAAACATCCACTTTTAGCAACTTAAAAACTAATGGCACATGTATTACAGCATGAGTTTTTGTGGACTCTCGCTTTTTTTCCTTTTTAAATCTATATACAAATTCCTCTTCCAGTGAAGGGTAATACTTTGGATCTGGCCACAGTGATGCATTCCTTGAGTTACATTATATTGAGACTACTGGAAAATACTGTATCTGAGCTAGCTTTGAAGTGTGTGTGGAAATTTCAGCTGGTTCATAATACTGTAACACAATTACTGACCAAACAAGGTAACGGAGAACATTTCAAGGTCCAGTTCAAAGGAATGGTTTAAAGCACCATTAGAGCTCATGTTGGCCTTCTCACTAGTTGAAGCAGACATGCAGAGACATTAGCAGATAATGCCCTAACTGAAGAATACAAAACACCATAATCTTCTGTAAGCCACTGGAATGCTAGCAAGGCTTCAGAGGTGAGGCAAGAATTGACCAGGTGCCTAGAAAGAAGGGTGAAGGGAAGGACAAATGAAAGAAAAGAAAGGAGTGGATTGACCAAACAGGAACAGGAATTACTGGTAGAAAGGAGATGCATTCCTGTGAGAAGTCTGAGAAAAAAGAACCTGACTAAGAGCAGGACAACCAAAAACTGTTTGGAAGACAGGGAGATATCCTATTATGATGCTACAATAGAGATGGGGATGCTGTTTGGGACAGACTCCCACAAAAAAGCTTCTGATCAAAGAGAACTGCAGGAGAAATAGAGAGACCTTATCAAGAGCTATCAAAAATATAGATTGGGCCCTGTGGCCACTCTCCTCACAATCCACTTTGGGGACTAGTAATCCTGATTGGGTTAGACAGGAGACAGATTCAGTGAGATAGTCATGCAAACTCAGCAGGACTTCTTCCACAACATCAGGCTACCCAAAGCAAGTCAGATTTGCCTGTCTTATGTTCACCTACAGTCAAAAACTGTCAAGCTGGTAGAAGTGAGAACCAGTGACAACCACAATTTTAGAAGCAAAACAAGTGGAGCAGTGCAATACTTTAATTTCGTCAATGACCAACAAAATTTTAAAAATACAATACAAAAGTAAAATCAAAGGAATGAGATAAAATACCAAAGATATAACAAAGATAAAATAACAAAAATGTAACATAACCTACTATAATAGTGCATTAATTACCTGTGCAAGTGTAAATCTAAAATATTACAATCTATGAAATAAAAATATATATCATCTAAAACAAAATAGCTAGCATGTATTAAACCTGAAGTGATGAATAAAACAGAAGTGGTTATTTCTGTGACCAGTTATACCTTATTTTTATCACAGCAACACAGAATTTGGCTACTGCATAAGTGATAAAGGGTTTTGAATCTTCTAGAAGATAGTTCCCATAGAAATTGTCTGGCCTTCCTGGAATTTTACATATCAGGGGCAGAATATAAGCAGACCTGATATCCCTGTAGAATTTACACTGCGAAAAGGTTTTAATCTTGGAGAAAACCAAGTATGAGAGTAACAGGTTAAAAACAAAAACAAAAAAACCTTCTGTTCCAGTAGAATCTGTATTTTTCTGTATGATCCTAGCTATACATTAATTGTACATTAATAATCAAATGTATGGTTAATTATCTTATAGTGTAGCTAAACTGGGAAAGCATAAAGAAAATATGAAGAAATATTTATCTGTGTCTGCCTGCTGTGTGAATCCAGTGGATCTAATGGAGCAAGGTGGGTGTGATTTGTCCCTTTCAGCTAATTATGACCTCCAAAAGCTGTATGACATGGGATCAGATTATCTGAAGCTACCTTTCCCTATATAATTTTCTCTGTTTTAAAATCTTTGGATCTTCCTTCTAATCTGACATCTACAACAACCTCTTTTCAGTCAACACTTCTACATGTTTTGGTCTTTGATACTAATCATTCCCAGCCACATCTTTGCAAGTGATGTCTCTGGAACACTTCACAAAAAAGGATGCCTAACCTAATCTTATTTCCAGGCTCTTTACACCAGCAATTCAAGGCCTTTTCCTATAGACAGTTCTGTGATTCCATAATCTGAGCTGATCTGGCCATAGATACAATGGATTTAAGGTAACTATAACTGTTTAGCTGATTATTTGCATTGATTTTACTGATGTGTTTCACTTCCCTTGTGCTTATGGTGTTGTTTTCTTTGTATTCTATTACTGGTTTATGGTATTTGTATTTTACTACTGATAGGCATCTGGAAACCATGTTTTGGAGTGGTGGGCTACAAAATTAATAAGTAAAATAAATAAATAGCCTACTTTATCCTTAGTCTGCCAGCCTAACACAATCCCTGTATTGTGTAATCTGGAGAGAAGGTAGATCAATTCTGCATCTGTACTAGCCTTATCTAAACTGATGCTCTCCAGAGATGTTGAACTCCTATCACTTCATCCAATATGTCTATGATATTTAAGGATGCTTTACTTTTTTATGTAGTACATAGCTGCAGTTAATGTAATCTGTAACTGGTAGAAAAATATAGGTGTAACAGAATGGTTACATACCTTTCCTTGAGACTTCCTGTAGTGAACTAGGCTACAGAAAGTTATTGTGCATAAGTAGTCACTCAGAAACTATGAATATGACAATTGTCATCTGATACGGATGTGAACTGCATCATAGAAATGGGGCTTTATTTACTTAGCCAGTGTCATGGAACATGCACCTCTTTAACAATCCCTTCTTATTTTTGGCAAACTAAATAATTCTCATGATTCATGGTTGTTTTTTAAAAAGTAGAAATTTGAATCAAATAAAGGGGAAAATATGTGAACTAGTTACATTCCATTTTGTAAGGCTCAGTGACAAGGTATTTATCTCACACTGTATGAATAAGACAGTTGGGAAGACATTTCTTTTCAGAAGAAACAACGGAAGGCTTGGTTTAGTCAATAGGGGAAGGATTCAGACTGAGAGCCATTATTCACCATAAACATGACAGAGGGCACAACATGTGATTATGAGAACTTTAATGACACCTCACTCCTAAATATATGTACTTGGAACACAGATGTCAAGGGTACTTTCTTCAATGTTCTAGGCAGTTGCATATAACCTTGATTTCTAATCCATAAGCATCTGTTTTTGATCCACTCCAAATTATTAAACTAGGCAATCTTAAAATTTGTTGTATTATCCATTATTTTTTTAAACTGTCTTTCAATTAGAAGCCTTTACACAGGAGATGTTTAGAACATTTAAAAAAAAAACTAGAAAGATGACTGGATTAGGCCAAGAGCTGATGCAGACCAGCATTCTTTGTCACCAGCTATTCAGAAGCTCATAGCATGGTGAGAGGTAAACCCAGTTTGCTCCTCAAAATTGATATTCTAGTTGCATTGCCTGTGATTTAGGCTATTAAACATATATCAGACTGATAGCCCAATCCAAACAAGTGTCTAATCTCTTTTTAAAACCATCTTAGTTGGTAGCCATCACCACATCTGATGGCAATGTGTTTCATAGTTAAGTGATGATACAGTATATATTTTACATTTATTATATCTTCCCTTCTTTTGTTCTAAGTTAAAAAGTATTTTCACTTTTATCTTTTGGGTGCCCTTTTCTACAATTTTACTAAGTTTACAATGGCTTTCAAGTTAAAGTTGAACTACTTTTGCATTCTGATTCAGACCAGCTGTACTGAACTTGAAGATTAATAGGAAAAGGAAACATTCCTATTTAGGGGAACACCCCCCCACACACACACACACACAAATTGCCATCAACCACTT